CTCTCCTCCTCCTCTTTCCTCCATGAGAGGATGAGCCTGAGAGAGGCCGAGCAGCAGCAGCAGGCTGACAGAGGGACTCATCTTCAGAGTGGGTCTGGTAGCTGTGGAGCTTCTTTGCAGAGCTGCTGTGGAGAGACTCCTCGGAGCTTCGTGTCTGACACAGTTGAGTCGCGGGTCTTTATACTCTCCTCTACAGGTGTGTCTGCAGGAGGATTATGGGCTGGGGTCCACATCGCTGGGCCTGAATAAACCTGAGAAGGGAGGACTGCACAGACAAACCTACTCTTTCAACATGCTGTGTTATGTCAGGTCTGTGGACGGATCAACACAGTTTCTTTACTGGGTGGGACTCGTTTAACTACACATCAGAAACTTCTACAACTGAAAAGTCCTCAAATTCTCCATTTGCAACCACCTTTATTTTCACTGTTATTTTGGACAGTCAGATAATGCTCATCTAAAAGTAATCTGTTCTCTTTTCTTCATCTGGCTGCTGTGTTTTTCTTCTCATTGACACACTTATCCAAATCCATCAGTCTGACCATCATATGTATAAACAAATATTTATATTTTATTAGCAGCATAAGCAATTTAGTTTGTAGTGCTGCTGATAAATCATATTTGAGCAGGTTTTGGTGACATTCAGGCAAACAGTCAAAGTCGAGAGCAAAAGCATTTACAGAAATTCACGACACATTTATGGAATTTCAAAATATATCTGCTTTCATAAACGACCATCAGAAATATCTGAAGTTGTTGAACCAGAAACCATCATTCGCTTTCTTGATATCTGAGATACTCTGTAAGGGTTCAGTAAATAATAATGAGCGATGTTAAACAATGTGAGCGAAACTAGTCGGTGAGGTTGTCAGATCTTTTGGGTGTCCTTTTAACCTCATGACTGACGTCTGGGCCAATAAAGGCCACATTAAATAAAACTAAATAACATAAAAAAAAACACGAAGAAACAAATAGAAGAATGAATTTTAAAGGAAGCTTTTATTCTCTTTTATTCTCAGCTTCATATTTTTATTCTTGCGCTTTACTAAAGTCATTTGCATGATTCACAGTTCAAAATAATCCCTCTTTAGCTTTACTAGGCCATGCTACTGTCTGAAATAAGCCCTTTTAGCTCCTCTGCCTTTACCTCCACCAATCCTTTAGCCAGCTTCTTCATCCCTGCTCATACAGCAGGTTTTCTGCACCTGGTAGACAAGTGTACGTTACACATACGCTGACCTTATTAACTGAAACCAGTAGCATATTTAGTATTGCTGTTTGCCACTGTAACACTTTAAATAGGAAAGAAGTAAAGAATAGCAGAAGGCACAATTTAATTATAATAATATTGAAAAGACACAGAATGAAAGGCTGAACAAAGTCAGTTTTCAGACATGAATACCAGGAGGAGCTGGAGGGACTGGACTGAGACAGAGTTCCTGTTTCTCATGTGAAGCATAAAGACACTGTGATACAGATTCACTATCATATACACTCAGCTTGGTTTAGTGCAGGCAGCTACATGGATGGAGACTGCATACAAAACACTCGCTCACTAGTGGT